TTTATTTTTTAACATACTTTACACATAACCCCTATATTTTACTACAGCCACTTTAAATTTGATCCATAAACATTTTCTGGAACATTGCTGTGTGTTCATGCTATATGTACTTTTATCTTTAAGGGCCAACATAAATATGCCATAATTAATGCCAGAGTGTAGTTGGGGAGTAGGTGAGAACTCTGGTCGCAGCCTGAACTTCGTGTTAACAAGGGTTTTAGAGTAGTTTGACTTTGAGGTAAACCTGGTTACTCACAGTAACACTGGTGTGTGCTCTATAATTCTTATCTTTTAGTACCTGAGCCTGTTGCGGACATGTGAGGGCTACAACGAGGTAGTTTTCCCACACTGCTCCTGCGACTCCAGGAGGAAGGGACATGTCATCACAGCGATCAGCATCCATCACTTCAAACTGCACGCTTGCACGGAGGACGGCACTTTGGAGGTGAGTGTGTGTCTGAGCTTTTCTGGGAAAGAAATGTAAAAATACAAATGCAGGTTCCAATTTAAACTTTCAAGGCAACATAGTTTTTTTTGTACCTCTCAATAAAAGTCACCAACACTGTGTCTTCCTCAGAACCAGGTGATAGCGTTTGAGTGGGGGGAGATGCAGCGCTGGGACACTGATGAGGAGGGGATGGCTTTCTGCTTCGAGTATGCCAGAGGAGAGAAGAAACCTCGCTGGGTCAAGATCTTCACTCCATATGTGAGTGATCTGTACCTACACTGCTTTTTGCCATTTCATTGTGTTTATGTATCAATCACCTTGTTGGTATTTAAAGTTTTAGAGTGACCAGTCTTGTAAGTAAGTAATAAATGTGTGATTTAATAGTCTACACACTTTCTTTCACATGTAATTAAAGCTGCAGTAGCAAACACAATGGATAGAAATACAACTTATCTCTGTTACTTTGCAGACTGATTTGTGTATTAAAGACTGAACAACAATTGTGTTTGAATCTCTCTCCCAGTTTAACTACATGCACGAGTGCTTTGAGCGGGTCTTTTGTGAGCTGAAGTGGAGGAAACAGGTAAGAACCACTCCTTTCCTCTTTCATTCTGGGAAGCACATGAATCCTTGCCAAGTTTGAAACTCTAAACTTAGCGTCTTATTACATTTTCCTTCAGGAATACACTAAGCCACTAACCTGTTTTCTTAATATTTCTTGTGTGTTATCTCCTGGTTTTCAGGTTGAGGAAGAGGCGTCTGACAAAGACAACAAAAACTGCAGTAACAATGGTGAGTAGCAAGTTGTTTTTGTCCCCCTAAACACAAATTGAAAGAACTCGCTACACACTAAGAGGCTGGAATTTTATCCAGAGAAAATCAAATATGTATTCAGATGTGATACTGAGCAGCGATTAGAATGACAGGACTCATCAAGCTCAATGAATTATTCAATAATTTCCTGTCTGGAAAAAACTAAAAGGGCAAGGGCAGGGAGAGGATACAGGCGAGTACAGTGTGAGATGGTCCTAAAGGCTTAAATATATGGGAATCCTTTACAGGTTTATGAGCATTTTAAGTTCAGTGACATTAAATTGCACCTGGCCCTAGAAGAGGCGCATTCAGAAACGCTTGTATTGTTTTATCTATTTTCTGCAGCTCCTATTTCATTATAAGGAACTGAACAAAATCCAGCAGAAACTGCAGAGACATTTTATAGACTGTTCACCAGAGCCTCACAGAGCACTTAACAACTTAGCAGTGTAAATTCTCTTCCGAGGCTATCGGGTTACTGAGAGAAGACACATCCTGTGGAGTGAAGTAGGTATTCAGAATAGATGCACATAGAGGCATGTGACTCACTGTCAGAGTCATCAAGGGGAAGTTGAAACTATTTCCCCCTTGGCTAACGAAATAAACAAGACATGCAAAACAAGTATGTGGACGAGCAACTCGAAGAACAAGAATGAGTGGGAAACATTCGGAGTTGTAAGAGAACAGACCGATTACAACGGAGGAAATAATGAACAGCTAAAGACAGAGAAGCTGAGAAGGGAAAGGAAGTCAGAGACAAGGTGAGGGAGACATCGTGCTGCAAAGGGACAGAATCAGACACACTGAAATCTATATTGTATTGTGGAAGCATTTTCATAAGTCGCATGATGTTCGAAATCAGCCCATCATTTAGACTTCCCTGAACCGTCTCTCTGTTCCAGAGATTCTGCCTCCTCTGGAGACACAGCAAAAGGGATGGCGCCACCTAGGGGGGGAGATTGCAACTTCCTAAAACCGTTGGTCACCACACAAACTAGAACTGGTCCACTTGCATCATTACAGCCACCCCTGAGCGCGCCCATCAACAAACACAGGACTGAGTGACGGACTGAGGCGATCCACGCCCCCCGAAAACTGAACTGACGAATGTGGGAAATTGGAATAGTCACACGTAACCAAACCCAGGGATACACACAGCAAGAAGAGCAATGAAAGTTAACAAAAGCCAGCTTTCATGTCATTTACTAGATCTCCATAGTGTGTCTGTTGTTTTCCTCCATGCAATCTCCCTGAGATGTGGCAGGACACGAGCAAAATTCTCGCCACCGGTTGAGATCTAACGCATATCTACAGTGTGTGACTGGTCAGCGTCGACCACAGCGCTGCAGTAACATTTGCTCAAAGCAACTTGACGAGGGAGCCGACACCTGGGGTTGGATCCCGACGCTTGGGTCTCCTACTTGGATGGATTCAGCCTGAGGCCCCTCGACGCGGCCGCTGATGAACTTGAGCTATGTCGACGGAGAAGAAAACAATAAGGGTTTTCACTTCTGTCAGTTAGTGACAAAGAAAGCAAAGTCATGCTTTTACACTGATGCTGGACATTAACACATAAATGATGTTTTCTATCTGTGAGGTCAGAAGTATTCTGTCTTTGTCAGAAAACATCAGCGACACAAATGTAACTAAAACAACTAAACAAAAACTGATGGGAGGGAACACGTTTTTAATTATATGTTTGGTTAACATAAATATAGGTTAATGTAAGACCTTTAATAATTGGTTTCTTGATCTAACACAGTGAAACACTAACTGAATTGCATTCAAGCTGCTCTTTCTAATCTTTGTTCATCACTTCTTCTGGTTTAACCTTCATTACTTGAAAACCACGTCAACCGTTAATGTCAGTATGGGTATTCAAGTGTTTTATTATGGTGATTTTGCGGAGTTGAGAGGAAAAGGCTTTCTCCTTCTCATCTCTGTGCAAGAATGATGGGCCAAAGCTTTGAAGATGTTGAAATGTCACATGTTCTGCGCAAGGAATCTGGTCCGACGGAATATGAATTTAAGTATGGAGACGGGAGATGTTTTGAGTGGGTGAGCTGCTGTTTTTCTGAACGGACAGCAGGGGGAAGCAGAGTGTAAGACAAACGTAGTGGGATTTTGAAGAAGTAGAAATCTCATGGAGTGCTCCCTCGGGCTCTGTAACTCACCCAAAAGTATTCCTCCGCTGCATTTTGTCCATTAACCACGTCAGGAGGACAGATGCTGTATGTGTGTTTGTGTGTGTGTGTGTGTGTGTCTGTGTGTTGAACTGAGCATAGATGGTGCATGAAGTTGTGCGGCTGCAACCATGCCCATCAGCATACAGAGCAATGCAGGCATCTGTCTGCCTCTTGAAAATGGATACAGTATTAGCCGTGTGTGCATATGACATGATTATATGACACTTTTATGATTTACACAGATTGATTTTATTTTGAAATTTCATTTCATTTTAAAATTTTCTGTCAGTTTGAAACATTTTCTCTCACTTAAGGAAATAGCATCTGAACAGAGACGGTTTGCGCAAATGAGCTGATTTCTCCTGAATGCGATAAGAGTTTTGTTTATCCCACGAAGTGCTAGTAGGTTTTTCCTCAGCCAATTCATTACTGACTCGCTCTTGTCCTTCACTCAACCTTCTGGCAGAAACCAAAAAACCTGAAACAGAGAGATGTTTTTATTTAATCACTCTGAATTGTAGAGCAGGTTCGACTTTATATGTCTCTTGTTTCGTACGATCGATCTTTTAGCTTCCGGTTGGATAAAACGTCTATTTCATGTCAAGGTTTAGTCACAATTTGCTTTTCAGTCTGTCATCTTGGAGCAGGCTCTCGTGTTAGTGTGTGTGCGTGGCTGCTGTGTTTTGTGTATATGTCCTCTATGTCTATCAATGACATTGCTGATAAGCTTTCAAGCTCTGATTGGACGTGTCTGATGAGCTGTCGGTGTGAGAGCCAGAAAATGAAGATGAGGTTTTTCTATCTATGTGAGAGTGGAGATGCCAGACAGATGGAGACAAATAGGAGGCGTCTCCTATTGTCATGCTCAGATTCCCAGCCACTCAGAGACACACAAACACATGCATATCCCCGTCTCCCTGCTGCTTTGGTTTGACAAAATTGTTAAATTCAGCCTAACAAGCTCTTTTGTTATTCCAGTTGTTGCCTCTTGAGGACAGGCATCAGTTACACAACAGCCTATAGCAATACATGTACGTACCAGACTGTGGCAGAATGATGTATGTTTTACACTCACACCAGAGACGGCTGGATTGAGATGGAGACTGCAATGTGCAAATTGCTGGATGGTCATTTTGACAGCTAAAGTAATGGCCAATTTAGAGATGGATGACGAGAATTAAAGCTGTTCAACCATGCTGTTTTTTTCCTCTTATAAACTCTAGAGGGAGGGTCAGATAGATTGTGTTGGGATGTGCGATTGTGTGTGTGTGTGTTGGTCTGTCCTGTCCTCTGCTCTCACTCCAGGTTGGTCTCCCGTCATCACAGGGAGATGTGGTTGCCGTGGCAGCACCACGTTGGCTCAACCCTCTTCTGTGTTCCTTTTATTCCTGTCAGGCAACTGACTCAACGATGTATTCAAATCAGTGTTGTTTTTTTAACCGTTTGATATTTGTTGTACGTCCCCGTGGCTCGTGCTGCTGTGAATATGCCTTTAGAAAACTGCTGTTTTTTTATAATTTTGTGTTTTCGGCTCGTCTCGTCCATGCCACGTGCCACCCTCCGTTCTTCGGCAGTCGTTGGCAGGTGTGTGTACTGTCAGTCGTCGTCCGTCTCGGCCATCAGTGAGATAAATGTCATGGTAACGGTGTTTAAGTGAAAGCGGAGAGATGACAGGAATGTTAAGAAGCACGTCTTTGTACGGTTGGCCTGTGTTTGATAGTTCTTGTTCGTCAGTGTGCACTGTGCTGTGGGCCACCTGTGTTTGTGTCTGAAATGCTGGACAGGCTGAGCTTGTAAGAGAAAGATTATTTATGAAAAATGATCGAACTTTACGGATATAAAGAATGTTTCACTGTAAAACAAACATGGAGGCAGGGGAGTGAAACTAATTCACTGCGCATGAAACTCAGAAACTTTGCGTTCATCAGAACCTGTTGTTGAAGTGCACATCAAAATGATGCAGTTGCTATGGAAACCATCAGTTTTTCAGAGTCTCATGTGCCAAATCAGCACTGATTCCCATCCAACCTCATTCAGCTGCAGGTAACGTACAAGATCTTTTCTGATAGTTCAAAAAACATTTTGCAGGGCTCTCGGACTGCACTGTGTGAGGCAGTGTTCTCACTTTTGACACTGTCCTTTTCAGTCGGAGCTGCCAGGTTAGTCTCATCAAAAGCGCTTTTGTGTAGATTTGATGTTTGTCGACCTCTGGAATGCACGTCCAGCTCAGAGGGGCATTAGCTGCTGGCCTTTTAATTTCAGCTGACGTTCCCTACCTATGACTAAAATGAAAGGTGGATGTAAGTGCTGTTTGAAAAGTGTTAACCTTTATGTAATTACTTTCTGTTCATTGCTTTCGAACAGGGCTTTTCCATGACAAGTAGGCAGTGACATCAATTAAAAGTCTTGTATGTTTGTCTTCAGCATAACCTGTAAATAGCTGTTTTAAAAAAGTTTAAAAAAAAAGATATCCTTTGGACAAAATGCACTCTTGTTTCTCCAACTCAAAACTTTTATTTATTTAAGCCGAAATTATAAATATTGGGGAAATTTTAGTGTACAATGCTAGAGCCACCGTCGAATCATTAATTTAGTGTGTGGGCAACAGATGGAGGATTAGTTTAAACCACACAGTGAAACAAGAGAAGCAGTGTTGCATTTACTAAGTGTCGAAAGACGTCGATTAACACTTGATGCTGAACTACGCTACAACATGGAGAGTTTTATATCTAAAAAAAACAAAGGTTTACTAACCAATAAAAGAAAAAGGACAAAAAGATTTGAAAATGTTGTGTAGAGTAATAAATTGTAACAATATTTTAAATAAAGTTATATATTGGGGAAAAATGCTGCTGGTCTTCATTTATTCACTCTCTCTCCAGGACGTGCGATGAACCGCGGAGGCTGTTTTCCTAATGTTGGCAGTAATCTTAATTGGCTTCCAGGAGGATTTTCTTCTTTTTTTTTTTTACCATCGGTTAAATGTTAAAACACTCAGGTTGTGTTTTATCAATGTATAGATTCACCTCCTGTCCAGTGAGCCCAGGCCAACATCAAGACTGCAAAGACATAAAGCAACAGCAAGCGCTCATCTGGGACAATTAACTTGTTGAAGGAAAAAGACAAGAGCTCCTGTAATGAGGTTTCAATGTTTAAAATTGGTCAAAATGTAACGGCTGTGAATATATTTCTCCAATTAGTTTGTCTTTCGTCGGCTGCCAAGCAAGAAGCCTCATTCATGCACTGTTGTAAGTCTCAAGGTTTACTTTAACCGCTTCCCTTTAGAGGAGATAAGTTTTGTAATCTGTGCCTGCGTGGGAGGCGTTTATGCAAAACGCAGCTCCTATTGAGTTGCTTGGTGGTAAATCTTGAGAGCAAAATTGTTTGGCACAGTGTGTTGATGAGAAGAGAAGACGGGATGGTCATGACGAGGAGCGAATGTGACAGTTTGCTAGTGGGAAGCATTTTAGTGTCGCTCAGCCCCACTTCAGTAGCTTAAGGACGATGAGGAAGACGAACAGGAAATACAGTGTCTGCAATTATTTAGAGCTCAACAAGTGACCGAACAGACCGGGACTGCTTTCAGCTCATAGACTATTTAAAGCTGCACAACGTGACTTGAAGTGAAGACAAAGCATCTCGATCGCTTCCTGATGGCTAGCTTTATAGGTCTTAAATCCCACCCACTGTGGGAAGAAATATGTTTTTTTGGGGTTTTTTTTGGTAGTTTTAGTTCAAGTGTTCATTTTGGTTTGGATTCATTATTTGATTCTATGCCCCATGTTTCAGCTTGATCAGTAGATAACTAAATTATTTCTGTCTGTGCTGTGCTACACAAATTGTGTTATTGTCCAGTGCCGTTTTTAAAATTTCACATTTAAAAAGTTCCCATGGCTGAGGGGGTAGAGTGGTTGTCTTCCAACCAGAAGGTAGGTAGGCAGTTCAAATCCCATCTGCATGCTGAGGTGTCCTTGGGCAAGATGCTGAACCCTGAATTGCCCCTCATAGAATAATTGTTATTAGATGCACTGTATTAATGTGTGTGTGGGTGAATGTACTGTAAAGCGCTTTGAGTGTTCATCAGAACTAGAAAAGTGCTATATAGATACAAACCATTTACATTTCCTGCCTGAAAACTCTCTCAAGGTCTGCAGGCGAGAGAGGAGTGCTCTACAGTGTGTTACAGCTCCCGCAGCAGGGAGCGTGGCTGCTAATAAAAGGTCCACAGGCACATCATTCTAGCAGTGGAACAGGCTCAGTGACATTTTGATGGTCACATGCTGCACAGATCTTTATGTTGTTCGCTGGACTCAACAGGGGCTGTTACAGTCCATGATGGGGTCATAGTGGGACACTGAGGTGAAGTATTATTCAAGCCAGAAATACAGGACCTCTAAAAGCACCCTGTGGAACCAAACCTCACTGGCACTGCTGGCGTGAGAGTAATCCTTTCTTTAGATTTGTCTCCACCTGCGCTCACTTCTCTTTTTCATGTCCAACTCAGGAAGAAGGTAGAATTTGAACTGCTTTGTTTATACTCATTTGAATTGTCTCACTGATCAATCTTAATTAAGACTCTACAAACTACTATTAGTCCATAAATTCAGGTGATCCTTTAGTCTCGCTATGGAGAAATGTGCCTTTGTACAGCACAAAAAGAGGATATTGAAATTCAAGTAACGATACAGTATAAAAGTAGAAAGTAAAAATACATTGTAGACAGAATATATACATTGTAACAGTATTGCAAGTATATGATATTGAAATTGTATTGATAGTAAATGATTATCGCACAATACTGCCTGTACAAGTATATTCACATCATAATTGTCTGTAGCCAACATTAGCAGCTAATATCCTGGTCATTTAACAGTCAAAACCACAGTATTATTATTATTATTATTATTACCACCTCTAACTCCAGGAATTTACAATTTATACTGTAAATAAGTTTATTATGTTAAACAGTTGTGATGCATCTACATATAAACTATCCATCAGTACATAAAGGAACATTTGATCCACCACAGCCTGCTAGAAAATTAAAATGCTAATCAGTAGTCATAGTCTAAATTATTTTAGCAAGGGAATAGTTTCAGGGGCTATGCTTCAACATTACGTGTCTCTGAAGGAGACATCAATTTCAACATGTAATTAAGACCTGCTTCACACAGAAACAGAGTCATCTGAAGATTTTATAGAGGTCTTAAAATATGAACTTTTAAACCAAAGTAGATTGTTATTCATTTTTATTGTCTAGACTCCACATGACCTGCTTGAAATTTCAAGTACAAATCAAGTAATTCACACTGAAAGGTCTAAATGATATTAATCATAAAGTAAGACCAGAGTTGAGATAAATCTGCCCCTCGTTGCACGACACGTAGAAGGGATGAGGAGAAGATGAACATTCTTGTATAGTTTTAACAGTCGACTGATTTTAACTGTCAACTTTGAAAAACATCCTCCGATGCTCAGAGTAGCTGTTTACCCATGTAGTCACACCCGAGGGAAAATGTCCACTTAATGTCCTCCTGTGTTGAGGCTTCAGCTCCACACACAGACCGCTTGCTTTAGTGCTTGTCTTTTCTAACGCACAAGACAAGTAAACAGCTTTTTTTTTTGTCTGTTCCTTGTTTGCGTCTCAGAATGGAAGGACAGGTCTGCAATCTCTAACAACATTACATAACAAGCAAGTTATGTAACGTATAATTAAAAGGCAGTTTTAAATCAAGACTCCTCTATCACCCGTCATGCACAGAAGCTCCAGATTATCCCTGTTATACCTCTTTAGTAAACACATTTCAGTTGCATGCAATTGCAACATTCTCCAGAGAGGCGCAACTGAAGATGGGTTTTAAATATGTCGCACAAACTGCCCCATCATGAGTTTTAAACACAATTTTATATTTAGACACAGTAAGTGAAGTGCAACAAAATGCATTGCAATTTCTAACTACTTATCATTCTATTTCTCATTTTTTTAAATGTTTGCTGTTTTGGAGGGAGATAGAGTGGGTTGGTCACTAACCCCCGGCTTCACCATTCCACGTGCCAAAGTGTTTGTGCCGGTAGTGTGTGTATGAAAGGTGACCGAGACTGTGTTGTTAGTGGAAAGGAGTTGACAGAAGTAGTTTGTATTTTACTTTGGGTTTGTTGAGGGCATTTTATTCTTTATTCTTCTACCAGTCGAGCAAAGAAATCAAAACTCGGTCAACTTAAAACCTGATGAAAACATTTGCCAAATCAGAACCTGCACAGACCAACCAGCCACCCATGACTTATTGGTTAAGGGGCCTGTGTTCCTCAGGGCGGACACCTTGTGTCCACTTAACCTTATGACCGCGCCGGCCTGGGCTGGTTAAACGGCCGACTGTAAACTGAGTGAATGTGGCTTGGCAGGATTAATCAAGCCTAACAACACATCTGTAGGAAGGCTCGCTGGGAGGAGTGAGCATCAATCACCGTATGGAGCTTCCCCCCTCTCTCTCTCTCCCTCTCTCTCTCTCTCTCTCTCTCTCTCTCTCTCTCTTTCCCTCTCTCCCCCTCCCTCCGTGCTTCTCATCAGCCGCATCGACCAGCGCTTTGGGCCCTTGGTAATTAAAAGGCATCGATCGGCCTCAGCCGCAAGATGTCGGGACATAATCATGCAGCACAGCACGCTGGGACCCTTCCAGATAACAGGTGTTCATACACATGGCTGGTGCATCTGGATATGTTTAACATCCACATGTATGTAACTAGTGTGCTGTGCGAATATTAATGTGTGAATAAGTAGGAATTAATGTTTTATGCAGAGCATTTGCCTCGTAATGTTTTTCCCTGGTGTGTTTAGTCTTCTTTAACCCGTGGGCTTCTTTCTGGTTCATTTGTATGCTTTGAAGTGACTGCTTCTTTTTAGCTTCCATATCACCACCGCGTTTACACAGTCATGGAGCTGCGTGCGGCCTAATGTGCCTCCAGTGAGGTTCGGTGGAATTACCCATCTGCTAGAATATCTGAGGTTTTATTATTAAATGGGAATGGGGTGGGGAGAAAAAACAACAAACACTGATTGATTCTGTACATGCGGAAACCCTGCAGCTCATCTTCCATGTGCACATGCACACACACACACACACACACACACACACACACACACACAC